CACACACACACACACACACACACACACACACACACACACACACACACATTCAGGGCCCAGGTGGGTGACCGGCTCACATAACCAGAGACCAACCACCTTGACTCCCAGCCACTTCCCCTGCAGCATCCCCTGCTGTGTATTTGCCTTTTTGCACCGCCCCCGTGCCCCCCCCTCCCCCACCAGGCAGCAGGTGCAATGGAAGTCCAATGGCAGCATGTGTGCGGAAGGAGGCTGGGGTCCTGGAGACAAGCAGAGCCGTCTGTTCATTGCACTCCGCTGTTAGCTGTTGAAAGTTGAGAGTCTAGATAGGATCCGTTTGAAAAACTACAATAAGGATTCTGTGGCTAAAATTAAAGACTTGCAAGTCTGTGCCTCAAGGGGCGCTGGGGAAGCAGAGGTGAGGGTGCGGGTTGCCCCAGGGGTGAGAGCGCCCTGCAGGCGGGGCGTAGGCGCTGGGTCTGTGATTCCCCCTTGGCCTCCCTTCGTTCGCCAGCTCCTGTGTGTCTCTGTCCGGCTGCTCCTTCTCTGTTTCCGTGTCATGTGCCAAGATTGTCGGGAATGTGTGTGGCGGGATGCTGGGTTTGGAGCAAGGCCCAGAGGCTGGTCAGAGCCCTGCTCTGGCTGGCGTGCGTCTTCTGATCCAGGTCTCTTTTTGCTGCTCGATGTGTTTGTTGTGTGCTTCCAGAAGGCCCTTGTGGTCCGTCCAGACGGGCTGAGATCCACACGCAGCCGCTGTATGCAATTCTCCCTCCTTGGAATGGGGGCTCCAGAGCTTTAGAGCACAGAGAGACCTGCTCCCCGCTTCCCCCTCGGCCCCGGGATTCTCCCCAGTGAACATCTTATGTTGCCTTATTCTCTCCTCTGCACCGTTTAGGTGGCGAGATGGGAACAGAGAACCCGCAAGCTGAGCAAGGTCTTCCGATCCCCCTACCTGGCCTGCTACTCCCTGGGTGCTGCCATTTTGCTCCTGAACGTCCTGCGCTCACACTGGTAAGCACTTCCCGGGCCGACAGACCGGATAAAGTCCATTTCCATCGGAGGCATCCAGGGCACCTGAGGGGGCAGCCCCTGCAGGCAGTGTTACGTGGGTCCATCCAGATACGGGGAGCATTGCATCCGAACGCAGTCACCCCCTCCCTCTCTGGGCCATCAGACTCCCATCCGCAGAGGAGTCCTCGTGGCCCCAGGAAGGCGACAGCGCCACATGCCTGGGGTGCAGGCACGGAGGAGCACCGCGGACAAGGCCAGGTGGTCCCCAGTCTCAATGTGTAGACCAAGCTGCTGCAGGAGTCCCCTCCAGGAAGTGTCAGGGCAGAAGGCAGGTGACACTTGGGGACTGAGCCTCACGCAGGCTTTTTACAGCAAGCTGCTCAGCTCATGTCTGGACCTGACGTGTTACCTTCCTGCCAGGGGAACTCATTCCAGATGATAAAGCGCTGCCCTCGGGCCTGGTGGCGGGAGCTGGTGCTGATGCTCAGACAGGAGGCGCGGTGCCCTGCAGGCCACCCCTGAGCCCGGGGTCCTACCTCCACTGCTCTGTGAGAACCGCTGTGGGCGCCACACTGGCTTGTGGACTGAACATGGCCCGTGCGGTGCTGGAAAAACTGAGCGATGTCACAGGAGAATTGCAAGGTCCGACTTGTCATGACAGATCAGAAGCCCTGGTGGCCCCGGCCCCCACGTGGGAGCGATCACTGGGGAGCCGAGTGGCGGCCGCTCGCCACGTTCCCCACGCCCTGCCTTCCCCTGTGGGCCCTGGGGAGAGGAGGGGAGGCGTGGGCGTGATGCCCCATTTGACTCGTGGCCTTTGCTTCTTTGCCTTTCCGGCTGCCTGTCGTCTCCTTACTTCCTCCACTCCAGGCCAGGCCAGGATGGCTATCCCAAGGGTCCTGGTCTTCAGAGAGGGCGTGGCCCCTGCCCTGGATTAAATGACACTGGAGACACTTCTCCAGAGAGGCCTTATTCCCCGCACAGAGGGGCAAGGGGCTTGGCTCGAGGCCCTGCCTAGGGTGCCTCCAGGCCTGCATGGCCCGTGTGCTGACCAGCTTCCAGGCCCTCTGACCCCAGGGAGCGTTTTCACATTTGTAGTCTCCGAGCAGAGAAGGGTTCCGTTGTACAGACGAAGAAAGTGAGGCTTGGCAGGAAGCAATGGTTTGTTCGAGGTTTTCCAGCTCACGGAGCCTGATGTGGGCGGGAGACCAGGCTGCTTCACGGAGGACAGCAGCTTAGGGAGAAAAGACCCCATTCACTTAGGAGGTCACACTGCCAGTGCGACCTTGGGCTGGGCTCATGGGTGTAGGAGGGGTCAAGGGAGGGGGGTTGGACCTGTTTGCCTACCCTTGCTGAGTGGGGTGTCGCCCCTTTAGATGGAAGGGGGCCCTGGGCTGCCGTCAGCTGGGCAGGAGTCAGTAGCACGTTTGAGCCCAAGCTGAGAGACCAGGCCCCCTCTGGCAGATGGGGGGCTTGCTTCTCTGTGAGCCCTGCCCCAGGGCTGCTCTCTGGATTCCAGGCACACACTCCCAGGGCCGGGAGGAGGGCCGGTCACTGTGGTGAGGCCGAGGAAGGGTAGAGGGCTGGAGAGAACTTGCCCTTGTCCTGGCTCCCTGGTCTCAGTGCATGCTGGGTCCCCACCAGGGCCTGCACGTGGCCCCGGGGAGGGCTTGGGCCCCACGGCCCTCAGCCCAGAGGCAGCAGGCCAGGTGTCTCCAGAAGCATCCGTCAGTGCCCTGAATTGCTACCATCCCCAAGCACCAGGCTCGGGCAGCCGTGCTGGGCTCCTGCCATGGCTCCTCACGCTTCACCACAACCCTTTGGGGGTGGGTATGGGAGCCCACGCGTCAGCTGGGGGCCAAGGCTGGGGAGCGGTTGAGCCAGGAGGCAAACCCAGCTGGCTCGGATGTGCTGGCCCCTCTCAGGGAGCCTGTCTGTGTCTCAGTGCCGACTTCCCATTTTCCTGACCACCTTGGTAACGGAGCCTCTGTCTCACCCCTTGCTCAAGCCGGTAACTTGGGAGGCATCCTTAACTGTTTGTTGTTATTTCCCTGCTCGGTCCAGCAGCACACCTAGGATCCCCCCTGGGGATCTATCCTGGATCTACCCTGGGATCTGGACTTGGGATCTATACCCTGGGTCCACCTCTGAGATCTACCCTTCTCCCTTCTTGTCTCTGGATTACGCGGCATGGAGGCCCTCGGGGATCCTGTGGGAACGGGCGTCAATTTGTGTCAGCCCTGCCTGGCACCCCCATCCCGCTCCCCTGTGCGGTAAAGAATGACACCCGGGTTCCTCACCTGGCCCCGGCCGTGTCTGGGTCACCTCCCCCTTTCCCCTGGCAGGGCCCCTTCCCTGACTCTTCCTGCTGCCTCATTTCTGTCGGGTCTGGCCTCTCCTCCTGCCTTAGCTCCTGGCATCCATAGCACCTCCCAGCTGCACCCTACGTGTGGAAGCCCCAGTGCGACGACCCGCTCCAGCCACTTGTTGGTCTCCGGGGCTCAGAGGGCTCAGAGGGCTCAGAGGGGCTCAGTGAGCACTCAGGCTCAATGCAGAGTGGACCGAGCCTGCCCTGGGAGGCCGGCTGAACCCTGACCCCGGAGAGAGAGGCCACAGGACGGCTCAGAGGCTCCAGTGCAGCCTGAACACTGAGGAGTGCACCAGACACGTAAACGAGTTGCTCACTCCTTGGCCCTGTCCTTCTCTCCCCTGGGCCTCACTCACTCTGCTGCGGTCACAGTGCCAGGGTTACAGCGAGGTCTGGCTTTCCCTCCCACCGCGCTCACCCATGGGGACGTGGCTGCCTGGGGTGCTGGGGGCGGGGAGAGAGGGTCTGGCCCAGACAGCCCACTCTTGGCCCTGACCGGCATGTGACCACAGGGCTCCTATGAAATGGGGGGCCTGCCTCCGTCACCTGCACATGCACCCCCGGTGATCCTTCGGTGTCCCTGGCCTGGCTGGGCACGGGCTGAGGTGGGGTGGCCCGTGGGGTTAGGTTGGGGAAGATTGTGGGGTCAGGCCACACCTGTGATGTGGTAGGAAAGAGGGAGCCAGGAG